TGGGAATAAATAAAAGGAAATTCCCCAGCTCCTTGCACATCCAGAGCACTAGACAACCGTTAACTTCACCGAGCATTATACACCACTGCCAGTCGATATGTGCACGCGCTCTTGGAAAGCGATTGAGGTCATGCCGGTTGCTGCATCAGAGTCGGCCACAAGCTTAGCGTGATATTCTCGAATGTCGAGGATTAGGCGGGGTCCTAGCACAAACGACTGCACGACGTCAAAAACCTGAAGAAGCCCAGCATAAATCTGAGTTTCCAGGGAAGACTGATCCCATAGAAATGATGCATTGTGATCGCATGCAGAGGTCAGTGAAAGATTGACATACCATTGAGAGTGTTGGAGAGAAAGTAAGGATGAGGCTCAAGCAAGAAACACAAACAAAGCTGGTATATTCGATCTTTCAGCGGAAATGAGAATCCATATTCACAGCATAAGCTCACCTCGCAAAGTAAAGCATGTGAGTTTTCATCAATACTGTGAAACAGTCCCCAATAATCCCTCTTGTCGAATGTTGTCGTAGTTCACAGAGGTGTTTTATCGCAATACGGGCTGCGAGACACAGTGAGAGGACCTCCCACACAGTGCCGAATATCCAAGTAATAAAATCCAGGAGTAGGACGTTGTCCGCAATGCCAATCGAGCACTGATAGGTGCCAGAGAGAATGAGTTCCTCTGGTATTTGTCGATGAGATGCATAATTTTTGACATCCAGAATTGAGCGTACCCCCTGAAGTATGCATCGTTGTCATCACGGCGACCACTCCGTTGAAAATGTTGTCAGCCAGGAAGGCGGCAATGAGAAATATCAGGATTTTTCTGGACCGTTGATACATGGCATACAACCGAGTGATGATGATGACTTGCAGCATGTTTCAGTCAAGTCAATACCACCGAAGTCTCACAAGTGCTAAGCTCACCCCACAGCATAGCAAATACCACAACGCACATCCAATTCCATACGATGTATATAATAAAGCCTGATGAATCCGGTTAGTGACCAGCCTCTGATAGCACATACTCCAAACAGACTCACATCTGTGACAGTATAGTGTGGCAGTCATTAGTGAACCGAGAAGTTAGCAAAGGACTACACCACCCCTACAAGGCACTACGGTTAATCGGAGGTGAATAGCAGGCATCTGTGCAGAAGACTCACTGTATCTGTCAGTGAGATAGTAAGAATGCTGTCTGTATGCCATTGGTCAGAAGAAGCGAAGACAGCGAATGTATTAAGGAGACATACTCAGCATGTCCATGCTGAATGAGAGATAGATGATTAGCACAACACCGATCGTTTAGCCTTCCGAACATACGCAGCGAATAGGATTCCAAGGTAGCGCACCTGAGATATCTTCAAGTCAGCAAAACATGACAACCGTGAAAGGCAAACTACATACACCGAGATACAGGACTGTCATTTGCGACCAGCGTTGCCTCTGGAATTAAGTGTAATTTCATCTGTGTTCCTCTGACGTGAGACTCTACTCACCCACACCAACTCGACCTATAAAACCATTCTTAGCGAGATAGCTGCTCCAGTCATAGTATTGACATACCTCTTGTCCAAATGTCAGTGCTGAAAATACTTGTAAGATATCAGCAGTCCTTTTGAATTATCATGCTCACCCCAATGATATGTCACTATAACAAAGGAGGCAACTGCGAAACCGCAATCAAAGTTAGATTCAGACATCCAAAGCTTCAACATCCGACTGCTCTCCACGAACGTATAAAATAGCTGCAGACACGAAATGAATCGATCAACGGCCACCAACTGGGGTCGTCTGAGACTATGGTCATACTGTTAGAAGAATGGATGTAAGTAAGAGACGGACTTGAGCTTGATTGACATGGTATGACAATGACATTCGCGCTATACACCACTATGCAGTGCTTGGATCACCGAAATGAGATGCGCTCCACGTAAATGTCGGGCGTGAAACAGCTGCCTCGGTCATCGGACATAAGGATGCCAGAAATAGTGAGTGCGGGACTGATATGAAGCGCAACACACTCGATTTGCACCAATAGTCACAGCCCAATTCAAGATCCATGATTGAATGTTGATGCGCGGAGAATACAGCACCACCCCTAGATTACAAACAGAAATGGGAGAAAAGAAGATCCAGGTGTCGCCTCTACTAGTAGTACGGCTACAGAAAGTTGGCAAGCCATCATAAAAGTTAGAAATGAAGTCGATGCCACAAAGTAATAGTCGACTCACCTCCTGGCTGCAAATGCACACCTCTCAACATTTACCGTTTAATCCTATGCACTACTTTCCTTATTCCACCCAAATCCTCGCTAGTTGCGTACCCCACTTCGGAGTTCCATCGTCCCAGCACAAACATCTGCACTACCCTCACAACCTGAAGAAATCCATAAACGCCCACAGAATAATTCTGTAGCAAGAATGAATCATGGTCGTATGCAGAGGTTAGTGACAGATCGACATACCGCTGGGGTTGGAGAAAAATTAATGATGAGCTGGACGCAAGAAACAGCAACAAAGCTACCACGTCCGATCCCTCAGTGGAAAAAGGGAAAAATAATTACAATATGAGCTCACCTCGCAAAGTAAAGCATGTGGGTTTTAATCAACACCGTGAAACAATCCCCAACAATCCCTCCCGCCGAATGTTGTCGCAGTTCACGGAAGTGTTTTACTGCAATCCAGACTGCAAGACACATTGCGAGGACCTCCCACACAGCGGAGAGTATCCAAGTAATGGAACCCAGAAGTAGGACATCTTCCGCATAGCCATCCAAGCACTGATAGGTGCCGGAGAGGACGACTTCCCCTGGAATCAGTCGATGAGATGCATATTTTTTGACATCCACAATTAAGCGTACCCCCTGAAGGATGCATCGTTGTCATTAAGGCGACCACTCCATTGAAAATGTTGTCGACCAGGAAGTTGACAATAAGAAATATCAGGACCTTTCTGGATCGTTGGTACATGGCATGTAACCGAGTGATGATGATGACTTGCAGCATATTTCAGTCGAGTCAAATACCACTGAGTTCTTGAGCTCACCCCACAGCATTGGAAATACCAAAACATTCGTCCAAGTCCATGCGACGAACAGAATCCAGCCTGAGGAATCCAGTCAGTGATCGGCCTCGGGAAGCATACCCTCCAAACAGACTCACATCTGAGGCAGTCATTAGTGAACCAAGAAGTTAGTAAAGAATTATACTCACTCCTACAGGGCATCACGGTTAATTGGAGGGGAATGGCAGGCATCTGTGCAGAAGACTCACTTTATCTGTCAGAGAGATGGTCGTAACGCTGCCTGTATGCCGTGTGTCAGAAGAAGTAAAGGCAGTGAGTGATGTACTAAGGAGACATACCCGGCACGTCGAGGCTAATTATGAGAGATTATTAGCACGATACCGATTGTTTAACCTTCCAAACATACGCAGCGTATAAGATTCCAAGGTAGCGCACCTAGGATACCTTCAAGTCAGCACAACATGACAACCGCGACAAACAAGCTGCATACACCAAGATACAGAACTGTCATTAGGGACCAGCGTTGCCTCTGGAATGAAGCGTATTTTCAATTGTGTTCCTCTGACATGAGACTCTACTCACCCAAACTAATTCAACCTATAAAACCATTCTTAGCAAAATGGCTGCTCCAGTCATAGTTTCAGCATACCTCTTGTCCTAATGTAAGTGCTGGAAATACTTGTAGGCTATCAGCAGTTCCTAGATATGATCATGCTCACCCCAATCATACGTCACTCCAACAAAGGCGGCAACTGCGAAACCGCAATCAAGGTTAGATTGAGACATCGGCATCAACATCCGACTGTTCTCCACGAACCTACAAAATAGCTTGCAACACGATCCGAATCAATGGCCGGCCACCATATGGGATCATTTGAGATGATGGTCATATTGGTAGAGAATTGGGGTGGGTGAACGGCGAACTTGGTGGCCGTATGACGATGGCGTTCGTGCTGGATATAAATATCACCATCTAACGTCACGGTATAACATAGTCACTGCAGAAAACCGCAGATTACGTCTGGGACGCATCTGGCACGAATCTAGACATTCGCACCACATTCGTCGCACATTTTACTCACATCATAGCAACGCTAAAACTTCATACTAATCCTCTCATTATGACCAAATCCTGGCAACATTCTATGCGCTGTCCTCGAGCCTAGGATAAGCTCAAGCTTAATTAAGGTATCATGCATGTATATTTTGACATAGCATTTATATAAAACATATTTGTTTTTGATATCTTCGAGCGCGTGACGTTTACGAGGCCGTCGCGTCACGCTGCGTCGACGTCGTAGTTCTCAAGTCCATGACTTGCTTGTGTAGCTGTCTCACCCATTGCTTGTAATCTTCAAACCATGGGTAGAAAGGTAAGGACCATGAAGATATCTACTTCGCTGACCGAGGAAATCCTTCAATCAGGAGGAACTTGTACCCTGCCGATGCACGAAATGCAGGAAGACTGTCCTTCAGTTTACTATGGTCACTCCACGAACTCGGAGAAGACACGTAGAACAAGACACGGACCTGTTGAATGCATGACGGGCAGCCCAGGAATACAGTAAACATCAGAACAACTCAATTGCTGCTACTAGTACCAATGGACCCAGTCTCTGAAACTCAAACAATGTCCCTGAGCGGGATCCCAGTTATGACAACCTTCTGGACTCAACAGATACAAGTCCAACGGTCTATTCCTCAAGTTTACCTCCATCACCAAACCTCGTTGCGGAAGACTCGCACGACGTTATAACAGACATTCAAGATCTGGATTTCGACTACTACCAAGATGACACGACTCTATTGGATGAAGGCAACAGTTGTAACAATGACATTTTTTATGATGACGATCTTGATCACCCTCGCTCTCTGTCTCCACCATCTTGCCCACGATCCACCAGTCCTGAGTTCATTGAAAATGTTGATAATGCACTGATGAATCCCAGTGCCGACAACCCAGTCCCTCCCACGATGAACCATGCTGGCTCTGGTGCTGATGACGAGGATCTGCTTCAAGAGCTCGTTCCTGCTTTTCAACAGACACCTCCTGTTCGACTACTTTACCTGCAGGCAGCGATTGCTCACATTATTGGATCTTCGACAGTCGCTGAGGCCACCAATCAGATTCAAGACGGCCTGGATCTTATTGAGCTTTGTGGTGCATTACTGACATTCCCCATTCCTCGATGCTCAATCATCACCGTGAAGAAACACTTAGGACTCCAAACGGATGACTATGTTTTGAGGATCCCTATATGCGATGTATGCTACAAACGCTACTCTCTCGATGACATTCAGAAACTCGACACCCCTATATGCACGGTCTCTCGTTGCAAAGGGAATGTGTATCATACCAAACATGAACATACAGACCCCGCAACAGGTGAAGATCGGTTCAAGCGTATCCCTGTAAAGGTCCTCGTTTATTGCCCCATAATCAAAGCAGTACAGCACTTCCTTCTGAGGTCAACATTTGTTGCCAATCTATGAGACACCTCTCAAGATATCGATCGCACAGAGCTCTCAGATGATGACTTGATGCATGATATACACGACGGCGCTGAGTGGACGAAGCTCGAAGTTGGTCTCAAGCGGGTATGTTTACCTGATGGCAGCATCACAGATATCGAGGAGTCCCCAGGCTCATGGCGTCTGCTTGTTTGCTGTGACGTTGGACTCAGTATGACACTCAACATTGACTGGTAAGCTTATTCCCCTCAATGTCACAATGGTAGTAATAGATCTGAATCTTTGTAAAGGTTCAGAATCACTGAGGGTAGACCTCATTCCTTGGGTGTGGTGTATATTTCCTTCAATAACTTACACCGATCAGTAAGATACCTCATGCACAATGTCCACCTGGCGCTTGTCATCCCAGGACCCAAGGAACCAAGTCTCGAGAACCCCGCGATAACCTACAACTCCCGTAACAGCCGGATCTTCCAGCAAGGCGAAGAGATTGCAGAACGTCTACGCACTTTGATTTGCCACCGTTTTAAGCCCTCATTTGTGCGACTGTAAACTTGGGGTTGGGGAAAGACAGAAAGACCTTCTGAGCATCCTTGAGATGGACGTAAATCCGCTCGTCCTCCTCAAACCACGCATCAGTAGCTGAAACTTCAATCTAGAGGAGCCCGGCTAAATCCTTTGCGCCACTCGCTCGATCTGTGGTCGCAGCGTCCCTTCCCTTGCGTTTACTGACGACTAAGTTATAAACCTTCGTTCCACGCTCTTCGTTAGAAGGAAATTCGCAGAGGAGTGGTCAGGTCAGATGTGGGGATGTATAGTGGGTGTGAATAATTATCCATAGTTCTGTCCAAGTATTTCGGGTCCACATTTAGAGTGACACGATCACGTGCGTGTGTACATTTAATATGTCGCGACTGTGATTCGCGTCTTGTCTTGCTCTTCTTAACTTCTTCTGCATACTTATCGTCATCGACGACACCGGGCATATTCACCGCAAATTGAAACATGACCGATGCTGCAGATGACTGGGTTGTCGCTGACAGCGAGGACGAAGACTCCTTACGACCTCTTCAAATTGCTGACCAGAGCGGTCTTTTGAGCGGAAACCCGTTTTCTACAGACCCAGAAAAGATACTACAGCGTCAGGAATACTTCAAGCTTCGTGTTCTGTACCGTATGCTAACCGGGCATGATTTTACAGCGTCACTCATTCAGACCGCCTCATTTATTACCAGTCAAGCGCGAACTCCCCAGCGAGGACGTGAACCTCTCGACATAAGTAACGCATCTCTGTTTACGCCACCTGCAGGGTACCAAGACTCTGACCCACCAAATATTTCTCCGTCACTCCCTCGTGGCGCGGGAACACCTGTACCGAAGTCTAAACCACGCCCACGTCCCGTGCCACGAAAGTCTCGAACTACGAGCACCATATATGATGACTTCATCAAAGACGATGAATTTCGTTCCTCTGGCTCACTCATCAGTTCTGCATCTGCAGTCCCAGCTAGTACCTTGGCTGCAGATAGCATCCGCCCTCCAACCTCATCGTCTGCTGTCTCAGAACTCATCGAGGAAGTCGATCCTGCATTTAGCATTGCTGACCGAGCCAAGACGCGCACTCGGAAGACTCAGGTTAAGAAGCTGACTTACGTGTCTGTCAACCATGATGTGATAGAGTTAACATCGGAGTCCGACCTCGACGAACTATCCCTCAAGCCTCCACGGAAGCGGCAGAAGTCCCAAGACAAGCCCGTCAAACCCAAGCCGAAACCCAAGCCTAAAGCTAGGACATTGCCTTCACCCAAGGTCACTAAACAAAGCACTATCGATACTCAGCCGAGCGACGTTATTCTTCCCGCACCGCAAGAGCCAGCGCTTCCGTCCCAACTACCTTCTACAATATCACGCCTCCCGTCTTCTCTTCCCCCTTCACCCGACTTGTCTTCTCCGCCCTCTTCTCCACCTGTGATAACTCGCAAACGGAAGAGGGCTCCCCCGCTTGAGTTAGAGGTTCATGACGATAAAACTGATGTAGATATGCCCGACGCTTCATCATCTTCTATGATTACACCTCTATTCTCTGCGCAATTGTCGCCCGTCGTCCCACCAATCGATAACTCGCACACACTTGAAAAAGCCAACGAGGAGGCAGATACCATCGTTGCTGCGAGCAAGGGTAAGAAAAAGGACACGAAGTCGTCTTCCCGGGCGAAGGGGAAGAAAAAAGGTCGGAAACAGGCTGACGAAGTCGAGCTCGACGATCTTGCGCACAAATTGCCCCCGGATCAGCCAGCTGCAGGCATTAGTGCTCTCGAGGATGACGATTTCGTTGAAGAGGCACCGAAAGTTACCTCGAAGAAGAAGGCACTACCAAAACCCACCCCCGCTACGAAATCGAAATCGAAACCTAAGGGAAAAGGCAAAGGGAAAGCAGTTCTCTCGGAAAGTGAGAATGAGGACGACTACGACCCTCCTTGTTCGAGGTTACCCAACCAAGGCAGCCATTTGCCCGAAGACGAAGCCTATCAAGGCGACAGTCCCAAGAAGGATTCTGAAGTCATGGCAGCCCCTGAGATAACCAAGGTGCTTCATTTCCATACCCTTTGATATCCTTGCTTACATTCTCCCCAGAAGCTTCCCCCGCAAAGCGTAGCTGCCTCACCAAAGCAGACTTTGGCCACTCTCAAGTCACGTGCCTTCACCGTCAAATCCAAGTCGACCCCAATGTCAGAACTCATCCGGCGTGTTAACTCACAGCCAAATTCACCGTTCTTAAACGGCCCTTCCTATTCGCCATTGGTGAAATCTTCGCGAACGATGCTTTCGCGGATCGCACCGCTCCACCCCAACCGACGGACCCCTCCACCACCATTACCGAGACCGCCCCCGCCGAAGAAGAGCAAGAAGCAAATAGAGATGGAGGAGCGTATCGAGGAGGAGTTGTCAGAGACTGTTGAGGGGTGGTCGTGTATGACTGACGAGGAGAGGAGGAATTTGCGGAGGGCGCGAATTGATGCTGAGTTGGGATATGAATGATTCCGAGTTGTGTATTCTTATTCATTATCATGCCGCTTGATTTTTTATTGCTATGTATTGTGCAACTTTATGGACAGCTTGTAATAACCTTGCTAACGAGATGTCTCGCTCGCTCAATGGCCCGGGAGACTCATACTAACTCTCAGTGATGCGTGCAGTTGTCCGGTCGCGGTTCGACCGGCTGGCTGGGCCGGCGACTTGCCCAATGGTTCAAGCTTGCAAGAATGACTTGGCGACAAATTGTCAATGTCAATGTTTCGAACATCAAAAAGTCGGGCTTCATCCTCTGCATCAATTTCAGCTCGGAGTACGTTCAATGTCCAAATGCCAAACCGTATGGGGGAGAAAGTCGGGGATCGGCGAGAGGATAGCCTCTATTTCTCTCTACCATCATCGCCGTTGTAAGCGTTGCTACTATTATATACTTATATTGTGAGAACTCACGAGAGTCTGTCTAGATACTACTGCTCTTCTGAGTTACTGATGTGGCGGCCTGCTCGGCCATGGCGCCATACTGTACTAGCCAGGTATATCGTGCGTACCTTGAAGCTATCTGAGTCTTATTTTATCTTCCCGTTTCTGTGTCAGTCACGGTGGGGCCCGGGTGATGATTATCTCAGTGGCTGAATCAAAAAATGATGGCATCATCACCGACTGCGCGTACAATGATTGAATTTGAATGCAGTGCGTGTCTTGTCACTACACAGCTTCGCAATACGCTTGCCCAGGTTTGGTATCCTTAAATGCGAATAACCCGATGACCGGCGAAGGTGACTTTGAATCACGACTCAGGTCTCCAGGAGGAATATGAGAGGTGTGCACTGCTTCGAGTTGGAGTGGGTGTTGGCAGCCCAGGTTAGACAAGTGAGTTGTCTATTTTCTCCCTTTGGACCTCCCTACATTTCATTTCCGAATATTTAGGTGACATTTTGACAGACTTTGCGCGTGTTTCATGCCCGGGGAAACCGTCAGCTGCTAAGCGGGGTGGCAAGACATTCATACTTGTCGATGATGATTAGAACGGCAGGAAGTCTCGATGGTCCCTCATACTTCCGCGTGCAATCGTATAACGAGAATCCTTATCTGATGGATCGCACAAAAGTGGAAGAATAAGAATATCTCGCGAATCGTATTTTGGAATAAGTTACCACGCTCACCGTCGGATCCACCAACAGTACTAGTGCAGTGCATTTGATTGTGTTTCGCAACCAACTTTGATTCAATCAAAGACCCCTGGATCGACTTCCTCTGTCTAGTTGACTCCATGCAACATTACGTGCTTCTGTCAATTAAGACAGCACCTAGGCTGTAACATAAACCACTGCATGATGGTATATTATCCAACGGAGCACGAGCACAATCGTACACATCCGCCAACTCGTTCGCTACTCCCTCACCATCATCAAGCAGTATGACCCTAGTCTCAAACGATCCCAGTTGGTGGCCATCCATCAATTCGTATCGTATCGCCAGCTATTTTATAGGTTCGTGAGAGTCAGTGGGGCAGTGCTTGTCGATCTAATCTTTTTGTAGTTGCCGCCTCCGCTGGAGTGATGTACGATTGGGGTGAGCAAGATAGTATCAAAGAACCACTAACGTCCTCATCGCAATCCCAGCATTGACATTCGGACATGAGGTAGGTTTGTGCCATTACCGGAGCAGCTATGTCGCTAAGGATGGTTCAATAGGTTGAATTGATTTGGGTGAGCAGAGTCCCATGTCATAAAAACCAATAATTGATTTGCGGCAGAAGCAACACTGGTCCCTCATGACTGGGTTGTATCTCAGTGTACGTAGCTTGTATGATGAGTGTGGTTGGCAAGTTGTACTGACTTGAAAAATTCCTAGGCGCGCTATCTTGGAATAATATACACGACGTATGTTTGGAATGCTAAGTGTTTGGTGCTGCTTAATTAATCACATCTCATATCAGCATCGGCTTGCTGAGTATGTCTCTTCACACACACCGCCGTGTCTATTTCGTCTGACCAGTGGCATACAGTATATGTTCCAACAATCTCGCTGACAGATGCAGTGAGTGTTCCGCATCGATGCTGGTCATTCCCGTCTAATCAGCTGCATTATCATATAGGGGTAAGTGCTTTAGTGTCTCCTTGGTTCCGTACAATGACTCCCACAGTTGTGAGTTTGAGTGGAGTATGTGGTCTTCCGAGGCTGATTACAAACTGGTTTTGCCAGGCCATATTGTGTACGTCACGTCAAATTCAATGATCACAGTCGTAAATGCAATACTAGGCGGTGAGCTAGCCATTCATCAGTAATATTGACTTGGCTGAAACACTGTGCAAGTCATCATGATCGCTCGGTTGCATGCCATGTATCAGTGCAAAAAGATACTGACATTTCTTTCCGCCATCCTCCTGGCTGTCACTATTGCCAATGGAGTGACCATAACAATGATAACGATGGATATGTCAGAGGGTAAGCTGTAATCACGGATGAAAGACTAAATGCACCAGGCTCACTGATGAATAACAGAGGAGCTTGTTCTC